ACAATAAGAATCAAACTGTAGGGTTTACTGGGCTTGCCATAAACGCAGATCACGATTCATATCTATAAAGAAGGGTGGATTTTACAGAATATTCACAAAAATTTCCAAATTCGCCTTTTGAGCAGTCGATCAAATTGACCCCTCTGCTTACCGACCGTGAACGGGCAATAAAGCATGGTTGTGTGGTATGGTGTGGTTCTCGTAATCACTCTGTCAAATAACCCAACAAATAACTTTTGTGCAAAATCTGCGAACACGCAGTTATCACCTACCTACCGTTACTTTATCCAATAATAGCATGTAAAATAACTGCTCCAAAAAGAAATTAGCAAATCTCAAAAGTTCTGAAAATCCAAAAAGATAAACTATCAGATAGCTCTTGTTTGTCTTCTAAGCTTTCACTTCATTTCAAGCTCTAAAAACGTGTCAACGAGCAAGCCATCTCATAAAACAAGAGCATCTTTCTAATTCTACGCAAAACTATGCTAGAACTTTTGATTTTAAAAAAATTTGTGAGGCTTGAAAAAAAGCCGCACAAAATCGACAATTTAATATCTAGGTTTACACTTAAAAAGTTAGATTGTGAAACTAATTGTTTTTACCCCACGCCTTCCTTAACATAATATTAACATAGTATCTATTTATCTCTGATCTAGTTGACAACATGTCTGAGCTGGTGATTTTTCACTACTGAAAGCGAATGCGAAAGTGTGGCTTTTAATTTATTTGAATGCAAACTCCCAAACTAGCAAAAGTTCAAATCCTAAGATTGGCCATAAGAGGTGGTGAGACCATTAAAGACAAGGAAAACATTGCAAAGATCAAAAATTTGATTCCTTCGCAAATGTTTCAAAACATTGATTGAAAGCTTCCAATATTTTTAATTCGCTTTAGTGTTCTGAAGATCGCACCTAGGAAAGCTAAAACCTCTATTTTAAAGGGCTAACCTCTTTCACGCGCATATGTTCTCCGTAGAAATAGCCACCGGTGATGAGTTTCTTCGAGAATGTCACAATATCTGGAGGTGATGGTAAGTTCCAGTGAGCGTGAGCCCAAATAT